TGTTCAGACTGCTGTTCTGGTCACCTATGATCCAAGTACATGATCCTTATAGCAGGAGAAATACTGCTATCATTCACTAGCATTAAACCATAGCTCAGAATGAAACTGATAGAGCCTTCTTATACACAGTGGAATGAAATGAAACCTGAGGGGAATATGATTGGGATTACAAAGGATATCTGAAGAACAAATACCATGGTGAGGGGAAAAGAACTATTTAAACATGCAAAGACTGGCAACGAACACTAGGATGGTGGAACAACTTTAAAATTGAAAGTGGGTTAAAGAAACCTAAATCTAGTGAATAGATTTTAGTTGGCTTCTGAAAGGGTTAATATTTTATCATGGTCTGCAGTAACTGCACTGATAATTTAAAAAGGCCTCTTTACTTGTTTCTTCATTATGGGAAAACTTGCTCAGACCTGTTCCAGCTGAAAGTATAGCCAGCTCTGAATGAAACAAATGAATATTTGCTAAATTTATTTTTGTGGCTTTCAACTCTTCTTTTGACTCTGCTCCAGGAAGGAAAGAACCTGAAAATTAATACTGTCTTAAGATCATCTTTAAAGAGAAGCAGAGAATAAAGAAAACAGAGAAAAACAACTGTTTTTCAATGTTAGAAAAAAAAGGTAGATGAAACAGAGATCCCCACATGACACATGGACCCCTTGCTTCTGTTATGGCCCTTTTCTCAAGGCATACTTTAGAAAAAGCTCAAAAACCGGTTGTTTTTTTGTTTTTTTTTTTCAATGTGAAGAACGATTAGCATAATTAGTTACATATCACCTCAAGAATCCTTTCAATTTCCAGGTGATTTTTCTTCTTCTCCAAGGACACTGTCTCATTTCAGCATTTTCTAATAAACATCTAAGAGTTTACCTGACAGGCAGCCAGATAAAGGGAGGCTGTCAAATGATTTCTCCACAACAGGAAACCCATTTATATGAAGCACTCCTACAGAGTGAATGTGTATTGTGCAGGAGTGGGTTGGAGGAAGATGACCTGTTCTTTTGATTCATATCTGCAGGGTTCTGGAATTTTGCTGAACATTTGTTGCGGTTAAATAATTATTAACTTGTCAATATTCCAAGAAAAACAAAATATACACTCAATTTCACTGTGAAAATCATGCAAAACAGCTAAGTGTGCTGTTTGCGTTTGATTTTGTTGGACAGCACAGTGCAATGAAATCACCAACTGTCAGATGTAATATGACAACCAAATGCTTGGAGGCTAGAAGTATTCTGTCACTGTCATGCTGTGGGTAATTTATGCCAGTAATCCTCCGGCACATCAGAGCAGCGGGATGCACTGGATATTATCCCACTGCCTCTGTGGGAAATGTACTGCAAGGCAGGTCGGTGATGAGGCAGCGATGGGATCCCAGGTGTTAAACACCAGCAGCACTTTGAAGCATGCACAGAGCCTGGCTCTGCTGTTCCTCCAAACGCGCCATCGAGCACTGCTCCGTGCCTGTGAAGAGCACGGCAGAGCCACAAAAGCAGCTGCTGATGTGGAGGTGGGTGAGGCAGGCTGAAGACAAGCCCTGGCAGTGAGAAAGTTCAGGAAGGAAGAACAGATCTGGGTCCATTTCAAGCACAGTGACCTCCTGCTCTGCAGCTGACCCAAACTAAGCTTCAGAGCTGGCACTGAATTCCTGCTGGCAAGCTCGGAGCAATGCACCCAGACAAGTGCCAGCCATCCCAAGGAGCTGCACACAAGACTAAAGCAAGAGGGGATTTGGGCTTTCCGTGCCTGACAGAAAGTCTGCTACCCCAGATGCAGCCAAGGAAAAGAGAATTTCTAAGAGACCGTGTGCTTAGTGATTTTCTTAATTCAAGTATACCAAAGGCCCAACTTTGTCCCTTCAAAGCCCACTGAGTCCAGGAAAACTCTCCAGGCTCTAATGTGTTTTAATAACTGGAGACTTAATTTAAACTATTAATAGTATGTCTCAATAAAATGAATTTTATACTCTTTGCTCATGGGCTGATGAATAACAAAACTGATAAAAGATTCGGCCTGAGCAAATATGCAGGTCTATTTACAGATTTACAAAGGAAACCTCGCACAGCACCTGCCCACACATAATTCTGGCTCCTGGCACTGCTTTAAGGAGTATTGAATTCCTTCCCACCCACACATCTTTACATAAGTAGAAACTTAAACACCAATTCAGACTAAACATTTTTGAATGCAGAAATCCTTGAGTGACATAAAGAGAAACAGTGGTGTAAATGAACCTTTAATTTTCATCACAGTCAATAACTGATGGGCTAAACCCAGAGATTTTTAAACAGTGTATAGTTTATTTGAAGTTATTGATTCCCACCTCCAGTAAATTCCTATGCTCCATCAGCACAATGTGTTTTCATTGGAGGCTGAGACCATCACTAGATGTTACTTAGCAAGTGGAAAAAAACTTTCTGTCCTGAATAGCTGTCAAAAAGTGGTGCCACAGAAAATGACTTCCAACTTGCCATGTGAAGAAGGGCAACCAGCAGATGATATTCCAGCCTCTGGTGGGCCCAAGGAATTTTTTCCATCTAGCTATGAAAACTCATTCTGTGAAAAGTAGCTAGGAAAGGTAGCTCAGTATTTATATCACTGCAATTGTGTACAGCTTTCACAGAGACTGGCATCAGCTACAAATTTTTAGGAGTCCATTGACTCAGGGTGGATTTAAAGTCACCATGCAAGAGCAGTAATGGATGAGAGAATTAGATCTTGGCCACTGTCACTAATGTCCTGTGTATGAAAAGAATGATGACAGTCTCTGAACATATCAATAATAACAAGGGTTTAATAAAGAGACACCTAATAGTGAAAGGTTTCCAAGAAATGATCAATTATATAATCAATTCCATTATATCAATGTGACTTCAGGAGAAGAATTCAAAGCAAGATTGGGGTCTGAGCTTACTATAGTGTTCAAAGGACAAAAAGCTGATGGTTTTGTCTTTCCCTTCTGATTCCTCCTGGTCTTTTGCAGAAGGGCTGCAGTCTGTGATCTTTTTCACAAATTACAATGTGCTACCGTATTAAAATATCACCACCTGTCACCTGTATTTGGGTATTGCAAGACAATGAGAGGCTTGGGACACTTCCTGGCTCATCTCATAGTGGCACTGAAAGCGAGGTGAAATCCACCACTGCCTGACAGCAGCAACAGAACTGCAGAAACACTGGCAAAAATCAGCTTCTAACACTATGGAAAAGCTTGAATTCACTGAGGTGAAAACATCCACAGTGTTACAGGCAGATCACAAGGGAGGGCCATGTTCAAACTCCACTTTGCCAGGCTCAACATGGGAAGACCACACTGCAGACCAGGCAGCTCTAACTGTGTCAACTTCATGGTAATTCCCACAGTATCTCAGGGAAATATTTTTGTTATTAAAAATCCAAAATTAACTACTGCAAAAACCAGCGCTGACCTCCTGGACCCAGTTCATACTTCACACCATTTAACTTGCTGCAGCTGTACCAACTTTAGGGGAATTTACACATTAGTGTATGAGAAAGGAAAAGGAGATGGGTTGTTCTAAGAAAAACAACTTGAACCTTCAGAGCCAAACTGAACCCACACAAAAATAAAAGAATGAGGATCTTAGTTGGTTTCAGTTTATAAAACCTGAAGTACCTGAAGTCTACATTTCAAAGGCATGTTCAATTTGCATAATTTTCCTACCTCTTCTGAACCTTTCCCTTGTAATTTATGCACAGTATATATTTTGCATTAAAAAAAAAAATCAGTTTCTGGCACTGCTAACTGTGAAATGGATTCTCTAAGTTTCACTGAATATTAATAACACTTCTTTTGCATCCATTAAATATATGCATAATTAATCTACTGTCACAAACCTAAAGCTGGCATTACTTAGGAAGAAAGTAAGATTAAGGTATTCTATACAATACATGTTTTCTTGTGGGTTTGTTTTTGTTTTCTTTTTTTTTTTTTTTTCCCTGCAGTCCATAGCATTTTACAAAAGGCTGGCCAGGAGTTCCATTTCATACATTAGTTCTTATGTTCATAAGATGCTACTGGCTTACATATCCCTCAGGCCCAGGTACAAATGTGGTAACAAAACACCACACTAAAATGAGGCAGGACATCAGCCATCCAGCTGCTCTGGCCCTGTAAGCTCCATCTGTGCTTCAATGAACCTGGGTCTCCATGGATGGTCCTTATCATTGTGCACACAATTTTCCACCCAAGAATAAACAGATGGATACTTTATCAGTATCAGTTCAACCTTTCACAGGCTAAACCACAATATGGTTACACCTCTCCAAAAAATGTTGAAAATGTTTTCTTCATCATATCTACTGTAAAGTCACTATGAGAGAAGCACTGAAACTTGTTTACTTATTTTTTTCTATAACAAGACAGCTGCTCCCAACTGGAGGATTGAATTACAGATTTCAATCAGTATCTTTGCTACAAACACCTCCAAGAATCAGTGCATCTGCTTGATCTGAAGGGAATTTCCTACCCAGAGACTGAGCAGAAAAGGCACTAAAGATTTGACTCAAAAAAAAAGGGAAGTATTCTTCCTTTATTTTAAAACTCTGCACCTTAATTTTTCAGCTACTGAAAGGAGTCTTCTTGTTAGGCTTGCTCCAGGAAATGTTAAATAAAAGTGTAAGAAACTGTATGGGACCTGTGAGCTTGGCTAGGCCAACCTCCAACACAGGACAGGTCAACCCTTGAAATTAAGGCTATGTTGCTCAGAGTTCTGTCTGAATTCTGAAAATCTCCAAGGATTGCCATTCCATAGCCTTTGCAGGTGACCTCTTCCCAGGCTTATATCACCACAGGGAATTTTTTGATGTCTCTTCTGCAGGCTGAATCAAATTCCCTCAACTGAACCAGAGGTGAGAGGAATAATTATTTCCCTGGACCTGCAGGCTCTTCTCTCTTGTAACCATTTCTTTTAGGACTTACCATAAATGCATTCTCTCTTGCATACATTTATATAATTAAATATAACACTCACCAGCCACTGCTGAGGTATTTCTGGCAGAGGCATTTGAGGAGGCGCCGGCAAACTGTTGGCAACTTCTTGTTTCTGGACATGTTCTTTTATTTCTAAACCTGTGGAAGAGCAACAAACACCACTTAATACCTTGGTGGATGCAAATGGGGTATTTTTTCCACATGTGGCTCCCATGTCTGACTGTCACACACTGAAATCTGGCATGCAGTTCTGATCACAGCCCACCTCCCAAGTGCAGTTACTGAGGCAGGACTGGAAGAATGCTGGGAATTCAGGAATTTAATCAAGCAGAACAAACACATACTTGCTCTATAGGATAATGACATATATGCTGTTTGGATCAACAAATACCAGACATTGAAAAAAATTACAGGAAATCATTCTGAACTGCCCATCCATCTCAAACTCAAAGACTTAACATTCAAACATGCTGCCAGGTGCCTGCCGGATAAAAATATATTTATTGGGGGAACATGCCACATCTGAAAATATCCCAGTGGCACCATATAGTGAATAAAACATAGCCTGTGGGCAGTACATGACCAGCTGCCCTTTTTCAATGGAAATGATCAACAGTGGCTCCTGTGGCACATTTTGGATGGGCAAGGCCATCATGGAGAAACAAGCCCCAAACCATCTTTCCTGGCAAAAGAATGGAGAAAAGGGAGAAGAAGAGTCCCCACCTGCCTGCTTTTCTTGGAAGTGATGGTGACAGCCCTTTGTCCAAGCCCACAGTGCCCAGGTTCCCTGGGACCTTCTGCCACCACCACCTCTGATGACGAAGCTGTGGTGTGAGTCTAAGTCCTGGGGAGCAGGATGCTGTGACACCCCAGCCTGGAGCACTGCTGAGGGACACTGCCCTAAGCAATTCACCATTAACAGAAATACACAATGAGCATAATTTCCCAGCACTTTTTTCTTACTGATTTTTTGTTTTAATAACCTCGTAGTTTTCCAGGTGAATTTGATAAGGGAAAAGAATGAATGTAAAAGCTGCTTTGAGGGTCCTTTGTGTCATTGTTGCATCTCCCTCACAGCAGAAAAGAGGAAGGACCAACTCACTCTGTGATTTTGGCACAATAATTTGAATCGCAGTTGAATTCCCTTCATAGAAACAGGATATTGTTTATTCTTCTAAATATCAAAAGAAGATATGGGTGCATCTCCTCAATGTTCTGGCAAAAATTCAGTCCTTGGATTGTACCCTGCTTAACCCTAGATGGAATTTAGTTCCTCGTGTTTAGCTACATTTTTAAAATATATATTTACATAGTCAAATGGATGCCTTTTGGTCAAGATCATGTAATTCTCAAAAATGTAATCAATGATGAAATGTTTCCTGTCATAATATCCCAGTCCCACTGGCTGTGAAGTCATGGGCTGAAAAACAACAATGATATATTAAACTGTCTCTAAAGACTACAGATTCTTCTTTCTTCCTACAAATCAAGAGAGTGATTAGTCTTGGGAAACATTCCTTTTTTCTTTTTTTCCAGTGTAACTTTCACTCATTGCTCTTTACATAGAATGAGTGATCAGTCCACATTATGACTGCTATCCATATCCAAGTCTCCCATGTCTTCCATAACAACCAGAAGTCATATATGAAGGGAATTTTACCGAAAAAACTCCAAACTATTCCAAGTAAATACTACTGACTCTATAAAACTATTTTCACCAGTTTTCATCTATATGTATGTTAACAAGAATCCGCTCTAACATTTAATAACTTCTACCAACTTATACTGCAAAAGTAGTACAACAGGTTTAGGGCATCAGGTCCTGTTAAGGAAAACAGGCAGTGTTGACAGTCATACAAAATTATTAAATCCAGCAACAGTTCTTACTCCAAAATAAACTCTTAGTGTCTTTGTTTTTTTAGAATAAAGTCTGAGTTTTAGAATGAAATGCCAAGTGTTTTCTTCAGACCTATACTCCACTGGGCATGCCAAGGCTCAGGAAGAAAAATAAGGTTTATAGTTTTGCCAGCTATTCAGAGTAACCACTAGTTTGGATGCAGGGCAGGTTGAGGCCAAGCAGCTACAACCTGAAGAACACATCTGCCTGGCCCAGTTCTCTCTGCTCGATAGACATTAGATGAAGAAAAGAGTGCACATTTAGGGGAGATGGAACAAAACAAGGCAAACGATTTCTAAAGAATTCCCCAAGTAGGCACTCACTCAGTTTGAAGTGTTTTACTGAAGCCCAACCCGCCCATAACTACAACTTCCACACCTTTAAGAAGAAAAACATAATTGTTCATTTCCAGACGTTCTAACAAAGCCAGCCAGTTCCCAGTTTCTCAGATCTATCATTACCATTCCCCATTGATCTTACATGGTTTTCTCCAGCAATCAAAAAATCCTGTTGGATTCACCCTGTTGATTTTTGCAAATGCAACTAAAGAGCTTGAACTCAGCATAGCCCTCAAGCCTCTTAAACTGTGCCAGCAACCCAAGGGCTCTCGTGGAGTTGTGTGGGTGGAGTAAAACAACAATTTGAAAAACAGACTCCAAATGATAGGTCATCTTAGTTACAGAGTACTGTGGGTTTATGCATCTTTTATTGCTTTTAATTTTAATGAAGAGATGAATAGTTTCAAAGGGATGGGAGTACTGAATGTTATGACTGATAAAAAAAGCAGCAGGGTCGGCTCCAGTAAAGTACACGACTCCCTGGGTAGTTCCACACACACTCTCAAGGCCAGGATGTGATGGCAGAGCTCCCAAGGAGGCAGTTCCTCTCCTTCCCTGCCTTGTTCCTGTCCCTGCACCAACCTCTCCTTTGAGCCAGCATAAGCATGTGTGTGGCCTTAGGCTGAACCAGACCAGGGAAGTGACACTGGTTAGGACTAAACCAGCAAAAAAAAGCAAATAATGTTTGTGCCAGCAGAAAGGAAGAGGCAATACATGAGTAGCCTGGGGAGAGAAACTGGATGCTTCTTTAGAGGCCATGCTGGCTTAAATTCCACTCAATTACATAAACTAAAGTTTATAGATATATAAAGCACAGTCCTATGATCTCTTATTTAACTGAACTAAGGGGTTTCCTTAACTCTAGTTTGAACTAGAGCATATCTTTCAGCAAAATATTCCATCTTGATAATATGCCAGCAATGGCATGCAGAACTTGCTAAGTTCTTCCATTAATTCATAGCTTCAGTGCTCAAAATGTGCTTTATTTCCACTTTGAAACAAGCACTCAGCCATTGCATTTACTCTTGTGTAAGTCTAGGAGCTTGTTCTCAGTCACTCCATTTCTACATAAAGATTAATTTTGACACCTCATTTTGGTTAATTTGAAGGCATATTTCTGGATCCTTTAATCACTTTTACAACTTTTCTTTGAAATGTCTGCATTTGATCTCCTTGAACAAAGACACTAGAGGTGAGTAAAATGTTCCAGTAACAACTGTACTGAGCAAAGCACTACCACTTAATACATGGATTTCACAGGGACCTTGGTGATGGATGGATCCTGGAATTGGATGAAATGGATCTTGTTACAAAGCCTGCAATAGGCTTTAAAACCTAGATGGTAAGTGCTGAATAGTGGAAAGCTATTGTTCTGGGCTCTTCTTATCTTCGCCTGAGCTAACTCCCACATCATGCCTAGGAACTGATGTCTGCTCAGGCCAAACCAATCACTCCACAATTTAACAGCACAAATAATTGAGCTCTAGAGTCCAGAAACATACTCAGCACTGTGAAATTGAGGTTTTTTTGTCCTGGAACACCATCTACAATTCCAAAAGAACGTGACAATCTTTCCCCATGTTTTCAAAGCTGGCAACAGAATGACACCTGACTTCTAGAAAAAGTCAAATGTTTTTCTTAACAAATCTAGCTGTAAAGATTGCAAGAAGAACAGGCAGTGTCAGCTCAGCATTGCTGAGGTTATTTTGAATGCCATAAAACACAGCTCTTTCTAAACATAAATTTCAGGTTCGCCCCTAGAGATTTTTGGGGAGTTTGGTGTATTTTGAAGAGCTTTTCGAGCATGAAGACTCTTTCCACAATATGAGAAATTGGTATCTACCTTGTTCTCTCAGTATAAGGCAGAAATAGTGGTGGCTCTTTAAGCATGTTCAAATGGAAAAGAGGACAATCATTACTTTAAAGATCTCCTTGGACTTGAATCCCACAGCAAAAGCTATTTCTTTAATAAATGGGGGCAACACTGCATCAAACAAGACCACATTTTTCTAACACCAGAGAAGAAACAAATCAAGAGAAATACAGCTGCTCACAATGTGCCATTTTTCTTCAACAAACTCTGGCATTTTTCAAAAATCTGAACTGGAGGTTTACACTGGCAGTACTTCTGTCAGATGTAGTGGAGACAGAGGTCTTAGGGCCCAGATGCCACTGCATACAGAAAAGTGTGGTAAAAAATATAAGGGTACTGTTAGAAAAAATGGTGAGGAATGTTCTTCACTAAAGCTCTGTGGAAAGGTTCCTGTACACAGTGAATCACTTATGTTGCACTCAGTTCCATAATCTTGATGGAGACAAGAAGTTGTGCAATAAAAATGGTTTTTAGATAGGAAGAAAACAAGAAAGTGAGTCTAATTGCAAAATGCAATCCAAACATTCTGACAACCATTTCCTATCTCTGGCTTGGCACTCCTGTATCAGTTATGCACCAGACTCCACCTCAGTATCAGGCCTTTTGATGGATTTGGGTCATTTGACACAGATGAAATGGTGCTGTGGCCAGCACTCCCTGGCATCAAAACTCACAAACAGCATTACTGGCACAAATTAAATGAAGCAGCCACTCTACCAGCAGAAGTGAAAACATTCTACCTAGGCAATAATTCTGTGGCTGGGTTCACCCACGTGCACCCAGCATACTTATAAGTGTGCCTTTTGCTGTACTTTACTGCTGGACACAAAGGAAAGCATTCAGGAAAGTTACACTTTGGCTTCACCCTCTCTTTCTGTCTTGCTTCAATTTAGGGCTTGTCTTCAGCTTTTAAAGCTATTTCACTGAACACAGACTTATTCTGTGCATTCTGCAAGCGAGAAAACACACCCCAGCGCTGACCTTTTGATGACTGTATCCTCAGGAGAATGTTAGTTATTACTGCCTTCTTCTCCCTGACAGTGGAAGTTAGATATTCATGGTCCAGAAGTTCAAGAAACAGGCGCAGCTCAACTATTAACTCTTCCATGGCTGAAAGACAAAAGGATAGAATTACTTTTTCTGAAAAGTCCCATTGGAAAAAAAAAAAAGAGTTAATTCTCATTTATCCACATTCATAGTTATTTTCTATAATTTCTTAAAAATTTTAAGACAAAATTAAGTCCTCCCTGATGAAAAGAGACCTTAACATTATTACACATTAACAGAACCAACAGAATAACCCATTAGTGAGCACTGCTGGCATTTATAACATTTATTTCCAAACTGAAAGACATACCTTTTCCCATGCCACATGATGAAGCCAGCACCAGACAAGTTATGTGCAGGAATGGTGGCCCCTGGCTTTTCTATTTCTGCCACTCTGGTTGCCCTCCCATTAACAAACTGCAAAATTTCTAACAGCAGAACAAATTTAAGGCTTGCTAATGCTTCCAGACACCACTGGCATTTTAATGAATCTTTCTTTAATCTTTTTTCTTCTGTTTGCTGTGGTAAGAAAGAGCAGGTACTCTTGTCTTTGTAGTGATTTTTCTTTTTTATGATCTCCAAAGACAAGCTCCCAATCTCTCACATGTTTTCTTATCACTCCCCAGATTCCATGTGATGCATTTCACGTCATCCTATTCTCTTATTCCAGATCTCAAAGCCTTCCAACTCTAGAAAAAATTACATTCCTTCTCTCTATTCCCAGTGCGTCTCAATTTTTTTACCAATGGATTTCATAAGCACAGTTCTAATTTTTCCTTTCAAGTTACCCCTAAAATCTTGCATCACCCTTAAGAACTGCAGTAGCTCAGACCATACATACAAACACCTCTGTTAGCCTGATCATATGATCTCTTCAGCAGGTTTCTGAGGAAACCCATGGTATTGAACCACATTTTCATGCTTCAGTTCTCCCATAATTCTGAGATTCTCCGGTCCCTTTGCTTAAGGGGATGTACTATTTATAGTTTTGTATCCTCATTCTGAAATGCCTCCACTTAAATTTTTCTCTACTTAATCACATTTGTTTTTATGGTCTTTTCCAGGCCTAACTGGGCAACTGCTGCTAAGCCCCTTCAGACCTCTAAAAGGTACATTCTTTGCTGCTTACTCCCTTACCAGCTCTTCCCTCCTCCTAAAACCTTTCTGATACAATTGTTTACCCAAGTGAACCTGGAATGCTTCCTTCCATTTCTGAGAATGTGTCAGGATGTTTAAACAAACCTTGTTTGAGACGCGTTTGCTTTATCCCACAGATGTCAGCTACACTCCTGCAAGAGACTCCTGGCCTATTTTTGTCTCCAAGAAATGCAGATTTTCCCATGCATTTGGAGACTGTACCTACGCTCTGACTGCTCTGGCCAAGCCAACAAACTCTTGGCAGGCACAGAAGATGCGCCAGTCAGCAATACCAGGGCACAAAAACACCTTAACAAAGAAATCCCTGAAAGAGTATGCTTGGCCAAAATTTCCATAGAATCATTTAGGCTGTAAAAGACTGTTAAGATCATAAAGTCCAACCACAGCACTGTCAAGTGCAGCACAAAACCATGTCCCTAAGCACCACATCCACGTGTTTATCAAGGACAGTGACTTCACCACTTTCCTGGGAAGCCTGTTCCAATGTTTGACCATCTTTTCACAGATGACATTTTTCATAATATCCAACCTAAACATCCCCTGATGCAAATTGAAGGCATTTCCTCTTGACCTGGGGTAAAACACTGGCATCCACCTCCCTACAACCTCCTTTCAGGTAGACAATGGTCTCCCTGAATCCCATTTTCTCCAGTCTAAACAATCTCAGCTCCCTTAGATACTGCTCCTTAAGACTTGTGCTCCAGACCCTTAACCCTTAATTTTCTCAAAGACACTATTCATTTGTACATATAATTCCATCCTGCCCAAGTTTTTCTTGGTGATGATATTCTTTTATTGAACTGAGCAGTAGTATTGCCATTACATAAACTGTCCACATTTTCAGGAACTGTGTTTTCCAAAGATTTTCACAATATATTGGCAGAAAGAGGGTTTTTAAAATTACAGGAAAACTGTCTGTGTTACTTCACAATGTAGCTCATGAAAAACATCCCACGGCTACAGTGGTAATGTTTTTTTGCCATCATATTTGTAGCTGTCTAAGCTCTCTAGAAATCTGTCAGAAATCCAAAGTATTTCACAACAACCCTATTACTTCTGCAGTTGTTCAAATTACGAAACAACATATATACAGCATACAGCTTTCTGAAGCACAAAGGCATAGGTTCAGATTTGCAAAGTGGTAAGTGATCACGAGACTCTAGGAGAAATAAAAAGTCCAGCAGCCACTCTACCAGCAGAAGTGAAAACATTCTACCCAGGCAATAATTCTGTGGCTGGGTTCACCCACGTGCACCCAGCATACTTATAAGTGTGCCTTTTGCTGTACTTTACTGCTGGACACAAAGGAAAGCATTCAGGAAAGTTACACTTTGGCTTCACCCTGTCTTTCTGTCTTGCTTCAATTTAGGGCTTGTCTTCAGCTTTTAAAGCTATTTCACTGAACACAGACTTATTCTGTGCATTCTGCAAGCGAGAAAACACACCCCAGCGCTGACCTTTTGATGACTGTATCCTCAGGAGAATGTTAGTTATTACTGCCTTCTTCTCCCTGACAGTGGAAGTTAGATATTCATGGTCCAGAAGTTCAAGAAACAGGCGCAGCTCAACTATTAACTCTTCCATGGCTGAAAGACAAAAGGATAGAATTACTTTTTCTGAAAAGTCCCATTGGAAAAAAAAAAAAGAGTTAATTCTCATTTATCCACATTCATAGCTATTTTCTATAATTTCTTAAAAACAAAATTAAGTCCTCCCTGATGAAAAGAGACCTTAACATTATTACACATTAACAGAACCAACAGAATAACCCATTAGTGAGCACTGCTGGCATTTATAACATTTATTTCCAAACTGAAAGACATCTCTTTTCCCATGCCACATGATGAAGCCAGCACCAGACAAGTTATGTGCAGGAATGGTGGCCCCTGGCTTTTCTATTTCTGCCACTCTGGTTGCCCTCCCATTAACAAACTGCAAAATTTCTAACATCAGAACAAATTTAAGGCTTGGTAAAGCTTCCAGACACCACTGGCATTTAAATGAATCTTTCTTTAATCTTTTTTCTTCTGTTTGCTGTGGTAAGAAAGAGCAGGTACTCTTGTCTTTGTAGTGATTTTTCTTTTTTATGATCTCCAAAGACAAGCTCCCAATCTCTCACATGTTTTCTTATCACTCCCCAGATTCCATGTGATGCATTTCACGTCATCCTATTCTCTTATTCCAGATCTCAAAGCCTTCCAACTCTAGAAAAAATTACATTCCTTCTCTCTATTCCCAGTGCGTCTCAATTTTTTTACCAATGGATTTCATAAGCACAGTTCTAATTTTTCCTTTCAAGTTACCCCTAAAATCTTGCATCACCCTTAAGAACTGCAGTAGCTCAGACCATACATACAAACACCTCTGTTAGCCTGATCATATGATCTCTTCAGCAGGTTTCTGAGGAAACCCATGGTATTGAACCACATTTTCATGCTTCAGTTCTCCCATAATTCTGAGATTCTCCGGTCCCTTTGCTTAAGGGGATGTACTATTTATAGTTTTGTATCCTCATTCTGAAATGCCTCCACTTAAATTTTTCTCTACTTAATCACATTTGTTTTTATGGTCTTTTCCAGGCCTAACTGGGCAACTGCTGCTAAGCCCCTTCAGACCTCTAAAAGGTACATTCTTTGCTGCTTACTCCCTTACCAGCTCTTCCCTCCTCCTAAAACCTTTCTGATACAATTGTTTACCCAAGTGAACCTGGAATGCTTCCTTCCATTTCTGAGAATGTGTCAGGATGTTTAAACAAACCTTGTTTGAGACGCGTTTGCTTTATCCCACAGATGTCAGCTACACTCCTGCAAGAGACTCCTGGCCTATTTTTGTCTCCAAGAAATGCAGATTTTCCCATGCATTTGGAGACTGTACCTACGCTCTGACTGCTCTGGCCAAGCCAACAAACTCTTGGCAGGCACAGAAGATGCGCCAGTCAGCAATACCAGGGCACAAAAACACCTTAACAAAGAAATCCCTGAAAGAGTATGCTTGGCCAAAATTTCCATAGAATCATTTAGGCTGTAAAAGACTGTTAAGATCATAAAGTCCAACCACAGCACTGTCAAGTGCAGCACAAAACCATGTCCCTAAGCACCACATCCACGTGTTTATCAAGGACAGTGACTTCACCACTTTCCTGGGAAGCCTGTTCCAATGTTTGACCATCTTTTCACAGATGACATTTTTCATAATATCCAACCTAAACATCCCCTGATGCAAATTGAAGGCATTTCCTCTTGACCTGGGGTAAAACACTGGCATCCACCTCCCTACAACCTCCTTTCAGGTCGACAATGGTCTCCCTGAATCCCATTTTCTCCAGTCTAAACAATCTCAGCTCCCTTAGATACTGCTCCTTAAGACTTGTGCTCCAGACCCTTAACCCTTAATTTTCTCAAAGACACTATTCATTTGTACATATAATTCCATCCTGCCCAAGTTTTTCTTGGTGATGATATTCTTTTATTGAACTGAGCAGTAGTATTGCCATTACATAAACTGTCCACATTTTCAGGAACTGTGTTTTCCAAAGATTTTCACAATATATTGGCAGAAAGAGGGTTTTTAAAATTACAGGAAAACTGTCTGTGTTACTTCACAATGTAGCTCATGAAAAACATCCCACGGCTACAGTGGTAATGTTTTTTTGCCATCATATTTGTAGCTGTCTAAGCTCTCTAGAAATCTGTCAGAAATCCAAAGTATTTCACAACAACCCTATTACTTCTGCAGTTGTTCAAATTACGAAACAACATATATACAGCATACAGCTTTCTGAAGCACAAAGGCATAGGTTCAGATTTGCAAAGTGGTAAGTGATCACGAGACTCTAGGAGAAATAAAAAGTCCGTATATGCCAAAAAAGTAATACCCCAAATAATCAGCTCTTATCTTTTTCTCAAATT